CTTCCGATCTATCTGTTGATATGGATGGAGCTAAGTTTAAAGGTGACCTTTGATCCAAGCTTGTATCTTGCTCTTGACTGCTATCTTCTAGGTGCATTTCAGAGGAAGCCAATAAGGAAGGAGCCAAACTTTGTGACAAAGCATCATTATGACCAAAAGATTCTAGGCCAGGGATTCCACTCTCTGAGTTTCCAACATCATGGATGTCAGTAGGCATAGTTGTGCAGTCATTCTCTACTCCAGGTATACTGGCATCAGAAGATGGAAAATCAGTAGGTGATGGTATATTTTCAGATACAAGATTCATGCCAGAATGCACAGCATCACTATTTGGAGCAGCTGCTGAAATTTCTTCCTCCCCTTGTGACTTCTGCAATATTTGTGTAAAAGTTTTATTCAAAAGATGATTCTCAGAAAAATGCTATGTAAAAAAAAATTAGACAGGTTAAATCATTACAAATGAAAGGGATTGGTGATAAATTGAAAAATATAAAGGCAAGGCCTGAAAACCAAAAATACCAGATAAATAAATTAATAATTAAACCACTACCTCATTAGACACTGATTGATGAGCATCAAGAAGGGAAGCTATTGGAGGAAAAGTACTAGAAAGTGACATAACACCAGCTACAAATGATGGTGGATATTTAGCCTTGTCATCAGAACCAATCATACTAATGTCTTGCAGCTGTTCATCATTTTCTTCAGCATTAGGGTAATTTGGAGGTAGGTTTCGCATATTTGCCATCACCACCTCAGCTAGCAAGTCAGCAGAAATACTAGAGATGAGAATTTCCAAATGTACAACAGCTTTTTCACCTTGAGCAATCAAAGCGCCAAAGGTGGCAACAAGTTGTTGTACAGGCCCATTATCCACATCTTCTTTTGATGATGTTGGCACAGTTGAAGGAGTCTCATCCTGAGAGTTGGCAGTGGTACAGTCATCTAGCTCTTTCTTAGGTCCTTCCAAAGCAACAATTGTTGTCCTGACACGTTTTCCAGGAACACCTTCAGCTAAATCACTTCCAGTTTGCGATCCTGATCGTTTTCTTGCCAAATTACTGTTCACTGAATCACGAGAATTAACTGCAGGTTCCTCTTCCTGTAAAATTAAAAAAAAATGTAAACAAAAATTACAATGATGTCCTGCCAGTATTAAATGCTATTGAAAATATTTATTTTGATCCACAAAATTCCTAGCAGCTAGCCAAAACACTTCTGTTATTGCAGCCAGAACTCCAATTGTTTGGCATTTTTACATTTACTCCTAGTTCAAAGTATTTGCTGTTTATGGTAAAAACAAAGATTAAGTTATAAGATAAATTAAATAGCATCAATTAATGGAATACAACTGCATTTGGCTTAATTACTCCCTATTTACAATATTACAATTGAGGATGGAAGAGGCATAACTCAACCCAAAAGCTAACTCAAAGGAGTAGGATTGTCCAAGTCATTATAAGTAGTACTTCAGTCCCATGCCCAGCCTACGTGAGATCTAAAGATACCTCCATCATGCTTAGGACTGGACATTTGGAATGTGAAATATGCAAGATAGACATTTGAAGTGGTGGCCTGACTAGGATAGGGTCTAATCAATTCTAAAAGCTAACTCAAGAGAAAAGGATTGTTCAAGTCATTAAAAGTATTATGGCCATATATCTACCTAATATGGGATCTTATTCTTAACCATCAGAAAATAATCAATGCCCTCAATCATGAGAAAATACTAGACACAGTAATGTATAAATGCATGGGAAAAAACAAAAAATACCCTGCAACTCCAATTCCAATGACTATGTTCCGCAAGAAACTTACAGTAGTGCCACTGAGCAGGAAAATTTGTTACCATACAACAGATGGCATGCAGCTGGACAGATTTATTATATATTAATATTACACTCCATTAATAATTTTATTTTCATACCATTTATTGGATATACCAGGAGACAATAACAAATTTGGAAATAAATAATTAGTTATCTTAATTTTCTAAAACAACAAAAACGATGGAATAAAACCCATTCACTAAGACAACAGAAAACATGAAACCCAGTACTATCTATTTCTTCTGCAGACAAAAAATGTTGAACTATCAATTCAATTGTCAATATACAGGCATACAGCTAATATTACATCCAGCCTATACACAACCTCCGTACTTACATGTTCAGAGCTCAAATATGAATGTAAGACACAGAACAATTTTAAGTTTAAAATAATTAAATAAATAAGCATCCCAGGAAGAGAGGATGGCTACCATGATAACAGGTTCATCATTCTCTCTCTCTGTGCTTCCATTACTTGCAGAGATTAGGTGAAACACCCGATCTGCCTTTCCTTCTGACTGCATTTCCTTCAAGGCACCTGCCAAACGATCTCTCCACTGCCAAAATAAAAAATAATCAGTTTTACATAATGCCATATATAAGACCAAACCTCTTAAATATGAACTATGAAGTATGCATTTTGATTACTCATGAAATCATTTAAGTTCGTAATACTGAAAGGAGCTACATTGACATTTTAAGCTCTCGTGAAGCTAGTAAAAATAACATTATTTTTCCAAAATAAGCCATGGACCAAACCAGTCAACATAAAACTCATTCTTATACCAAACATGGATCACTAAAAATAAACTTTGTTGTTGTCAGCTAAACCAAACAAACAACATCATCAATCATAGTACTCCAAGGAATATAGAATATAAAAATATATCTTGAAAGTTGAAACAAATGGCACCTATAAATTTGTAAACATTGACGTGGACCAAAAATAAATAAAAATAAAAATAAAAAAAAAACTACACTAATTATACACGAAGAGTAAACAATCAACACGACAAACACATCTTAGTCTAATAGAATTACCGGAGCAGCACTTGGATGTGTACATTTTGAGCAAGCAAGAAAGGCATTCTTCAAAGCAAGATGTGCAGCTGTTACACATACACCATTAACAACAGAGCTGGAAGGTTCCAAACTAAGCAAAACAGGCAAGATGCGGCTATAGAAGGCAGGCCTGTCAATTGCAATGCCTGAAAGACTGGGAATACACCAATAAGAAAGTCAATAGTAAGAAAGTAATGATCAGATCAATGGATTTTTACGGTGTTAACACTTGGTAGTAATTACAGTTTATAAAAAACAATTATTTACAGTCTTAGAACAATCATCAGATTTTCAAAATGAGCATCAATTTTCTTCAAAACAAAACCTAGTCAAATAAGATAATTATATTGAATTTAAAAATTTTAAAAATAAAAAATAAAAAATAAAAAAAAACCTCTCTCTCGGTGATGTTTGCATGTACATGCACATGTATGAGAGTAAGAGAAGCTATCAAATTGACCATCTAATCATTACAGATACGTCATCAGGAAGTTCTGAGAAAATAAAATTCTCTTTGTGCATCTCTCAGAGTGTATGCAGTAAAAAATGGCCATCTAATCATCATCATGCATGTGTCATCATGAATAAAATACAAAGATCTGACTCTTTAAGCAATAACATTGGGCAGAAATTCAAAGGGTGTAAAAGAAAATATCAAATACCTTTTGATCAGAACAATGATCACCGAATTACTAAGGGACTTCACAGTTGGAAATCTGAGTTGATCAAGCAAGAGACCCAAACGATGGCTGGCTTCAATTGACAAATCTACATAATTAAGTACAGGATGACCCCGCTTGACCCATGATATATTAAATTCTACAGGCCTTCCTATAAAAATGTGAGAAGCCATGTAAGCGAGTGATTTGAGGATTATGATAACAACATATTGGAACATCCATCCTATTACCCAACCAAAATCAAAATACAGTACCTTGATGAGAAGTGGGTTCAGAGGAACCATTGGAATCATGCGTGTAAAGACGAATAACTACCTCAACAAACTTCAGTGCCAGCAGCTTTGCACCACCACTTCCATGCTTTTCAATCATGTTACCGAGTACAACCATCAGACAACAAACCAAAACAGGTATTTCATATTTTTAAAGAGAGCAATTACTTACTTCAAAAGCTATTTCATATACTTTGTCTTTGAATTTAAGCATCCATGCCCATGCAGATTCAAGTGCACCATCTAAATCACTAGAATATAGACCCTAAAACAAAATAAAACCAGAATGATAACGTTCATATCTTAAATTGTAAACCAAAAATACATGAAAGGATAAGATATGAGGTAAGATGAAAGCAACAACTGCAATAAGATATCAAAAATTTTCAAAAGTTAGCGTAACTACTAAATATTTGCCAGCATTTTCTTATTAATTTCCAGAGGAGGGTTTTTTCAGTGGAGATGTGAAATTATCAATAGCATATACTTGCTTTATCACTTTATATAAGATTTTCAAGACTTCTAATTATAATGCTATACCAATAAGGGGCCAAAAATAAAACAGGTTGATAGATGTCAGAGGCTTTCAAAAAATTTTGAAACTTAAAACTAGATTTGGAGGGTTGGCAGTCCCGGTGGACATACCATAAATCCAATAAAAGTAATGTTGGTATTAATGCTACCTTCTCTGACTTTTCACTAACCAACTTTTCACTCACTATACCAATAAACACATTCCCTTCCAGAAGGCAGAACACTAACTATCAATGAAAACAAACCAACATCTATCTCAACGAGTATAAAATCAAAATAAAACTAAATTCTCCAATTCTCATTCACTTGCATGAATGTTAGAACAAAGTCGCATAACACTAACACACCAAAAACCACAACATAAAGACGCACAGTCAAAAACAAGAAGAACCCGTCCCACTACAACCACAATTTTTGCCGCAAGAGAGCAAATTAACTCACTATTTAAAACAAAACACATACCTGAACCGTGATTTTCTCAAGCGTGCTGCGAAACAAGTCAATTCCGCACAGTATAGCTTGCCGCACAACCGCAGGCGTGTCGTCATCCAATCCGTTAATCAGCACGGGCACAATGTCGGACAAGAACTCCGTGTTCTTCAATCCAATCTCACCAAGCATCCTAAAACATCATAATAGAAATACTTTCACCTCAAATTTCAATTACGCGTGCAAATAAGATTGTCAAATATTGAAAATAGTGAAGAGAGAAAGGGTTTACTCGGTGACGAATTTGCGAACGGGGCTGAAGCGATCGGAGTGGAAGTGGAAGAGTGAGGGGAGGAACTCGGTGAGGAGGACGGGGTCTTCTTGGGGAAGTTCGTGGCGCAGTTGGCGCAGAGATTCGAGCTTGGAGGGGATGTCAATGGCCAACTTTGAAGCGTTCACAAGACTCGCGAGCTTTTCGCGCGAAGACGCCGCCATGGACTTGGATTTTCCGACCATGGCTGTGGGAGAAGGAGGAGAGGCTAGTTTGGGAGAATTTGCATGGAATCGAAAGCGCAAGAATATCAGTGTTGTGATTGTGGTTTTCTAGGGTTTGGATGGAACTTGGAAAAAGAGGGAGAAGTAGGTTCGTTTGAAATCGCTATTCCACAAGCTGCAGTTTTCTTTGTTTCCTTTTTAATATCGACATTTATATAATATAATATTTACTTGAATGCATAATTTAATTACCATATATAGGTGTAAAAATTTAAACTAAATCTTATATATTTGATAAAAATTTTATAATATACGTTTAATTATTTAAATTATGTAATATTATTTTCGAGATGGTATCTATCAAATTTCATATAATTTCAACATAATTTAAAATTTCATTATATTATTTTACTTTGCATAATAATTAAAATTTGAATAAATATTTATTTTTAGATAAAATGTAATTTTTGGCATAAATAATCTTAAATATAATATTATATTATTTAACTATTAGATCAATTAAATTTGCATTATAAAAAAATTATTAAAATATAAAATTTGTCATAAATTATTAAATTTATACATAGTGTAACATATCCTAACTCATAATTTATTATAAAATTTAGTTATATATAATATAAATACATATGCTAAAACATTAATTTTAAAAAATTAAAACCACATTTTACCTAAAATAAGTCTAATTTTAATTATATTATATGTAACATTGAGTTTGGAAGGGGGAGGGGATTCTAATATCGAGCTTCCAAGGGGGAGGGGGTTCAAGTATGTTGGTGGTGGTTTATACCTTTTTCTAAGTCTTCTTCTCCCCTTAGATTCTCAAGAGCATTAGAGTTGTAGTTCTTGTTGCTGGGAAAATTCAGAGCACTTGAGCCCAAGAATTAAAGTGGGTTTGGTGCAAAGCTTCCTCAAAACTCAGAGTTCTTCTTTTACTTTTTCTCTCTTCTCCTTTTTCCTCTCCTTGCTTTGAAAGCTCATAATTGTGGTAAAGGAAGTTAGAACTCAACTTCTAGTTGATTTATGTTGTGCATGTTGTTTGAGATTTGTTTAATCTTTGTGTCTATGGATTTTTTAGATGTAAGATTTAACAGTTTCGGATTTTTAGTGTTCTTGGTGAAAAATGAGGGATTTGACAATCTACTTAGTGTGTTATTGTTTTATATTCCTTCTTCTTGGATTTTCGGGTTGTATGTTGTTATAATTGGAAATTTTGGGGTTGCATGCATAGATTCTTACCTAAGTTGAGAGGTTTTGGAGGTTGGGTGGTGTTCATGGTTGTTAGAGATGTTCTTGAAGCTGAAAATTCTGAGTTCCAAGATTGAACATGAGTTTTCACGTTGAGCATGAGAATTGAGAAGTGTCTATGGAAGACTGAGGCTGAGCGTGAGTTTCACACTTAGCGTGAAGGGAAAATATGCCTCTAGGTGACTAAGGCTAAGCGTGAGATTTCACACTCAATGTGGGGGCTTGATCAAAAATTTTCTTTTCTAATTGAGTTGGTTGTTTACTTAATGGATGAATTGAGTGATAAACACTTGTTAATGGGGTTCTCTTATGACTAAATATTGATGAATATGTTGTATGTAGAGTGATGATAATAAGTATTGATATGTTATATTTGTATAGTTGAAATGGTGATGAACATTGATGTGTTTTATATGATTGGTATGTTATAAATTGTATGGTTGAAGTGTTGAATAAACATTGATATGTTATTATTGAATGAATTGTTGAGCATTAGTATGTTATTATTGAATGAATTGTTGAACATTAGTATGCTATTATTGAATGAATTGTTTAGCATCAATGTGCAATTATCGAATGAATTATTGAGCATTGTTATGTTATTATTGAATGAATTATTGAGCATTGATATACTATACATGGATGAATTGTTGAACATTGATATGTTATTCTTAGTTAAGGTGTTAAGTATTGGTATGTTATACATGATTGTGTAATTTGATTTCTATATGCATTGACTTGGGATAATGTGTATAGAAGATGTATGTTAAGGTGTTGGTGCTAAGAATGTTGCATGTATTAAAACATGTTGATTGACTTAGGACTAAAAGAGAAGGTGTTGTTCAAAAAGTTAAAGATCCCTGTAGGGAATACTGTTTTGGCACTTTTAGAGGCTAATTATTGAAAATCTTTATTGAGTAGGTGTGAAACTCTTGGAATATATTTTATTTAGTTTTTTCTAGGTCCTTAGTCAATATGGAGTAAGGTATAAAGTTGAGGATTATCACCCTTAACTGGTTACTGGAAAGGTTGTGTAGTTCTTTGCACATATATAGTGGACTAACTCTCTATGTGATTTGGTAATGTATTTTAAAGTCGTGGTATACTTATACCGAAAATTGTTGTTGATCTAACAAGCCCAAAAAGATCATCTATGTTGATTGATTTGGTAGGATCAAGTTACTTAGACTACTCACTTATGTTGTAAGAGATCTTCTAGTTAAAATGTGTGATGATGTATATAGTTATTGTGTTGTGCATATTTTGTGTTGTTTAAATTGTGTTGTTTAAATTGTGTTGATCTATAACGAAAATTGGTTGATGTGTGGAGTTATAAGATGTTGATGTGTGTTGTTTAAGTTGTCATTTAGATTACTATATACTAAGTTGATAGTATTGAATATTTTATTAAAAGGAGTTGATGTTGATTTTGTTGAGAGATTATATGTTGACCATGTTGAAAGAGTTGTGAGATGTATGTGATAAATGTGAAGAAATGATGATATACTTGTTATCCTCCCCTATGTCGTATATATGTTGATATCTTTGAACTTCAGTTTGTCTTTGCATGTTTTTATGTGATTGAATTGTGATGATCATATGTGGTATGCGAACAAGTCAGAGATAGGTACGATATGCTATTGAAGTGGAGGCTATCAGATTGGTGGAGTGTCACTTATGTTTTAATACTACTACCATGTAGTACATTGTATAGATAGTTGTTTGATTGACAACTTAGGTTGTATAACTTACTTTTACTGAATTACTATACTTCCAACAAGAAAATCATTAATATTAGAATGACACTAGTACTGATGAGGACCTTAGACCATCGTTTTAAAAACCGGACCGGTCATCGAACCGGTTAAGGTATTGAGTCAGTGGGTCAAAGGTTGAACCGGTAGGTTACTGGTTGAACCGCATGACTCGATTTTTATTTATTTTTATTAAAAAATATTCATATTAAATATATTTATACTTATAAATTTTAATAAATTCATATCTTATTTTAAATTTAAATTTTTCTATCTTATTTAAAATTATTTTTATTTTTATTTTGTAAAAAAATACATAAAAAAATTACATGTTAAACGGTATATTAATACAAATTAAAAATATAAATAATATGTACATATATAATATGCTTGCAATTAATATCACAAAATAATATATGTAATATTTACATAGATATTGAATTATTAAATATATAATTTAAAATTAATAATATACTATAAAAGTTATTTAAGTTGTATATATT